TCAGGATCAGGGATCCAGGGAAAGGCCAGGGCAGCACTCAGAGGCAGAGCTGGAATTTTTTGGGAGCAGGATCAGGATCAGGGATCCAGGGAAAGGCCAGGGCAGCACTCAGAGGCAGAGCTGGGGTTTTTTGGGAGCAGGGCCAGGATCAGGGATCCAGGGATCCCCTCCTGGCTTTAAATCCCTTCCCGTGGGTTTTAATCCTGGCTGCCAAAGCCCAGCCACGACTCCAAAGCCGGGGTTAAATCCCAGCCTGATTTATTCCGACACGGATTCACCATTCCTGTCGATCCAACGTTTAATTTAACACTGTTTTAGGAAAACCTGCCTCCTCCAGGACTCCCCAGCTCCCGTTTTTCCCGGGAAATTCCCAGACTCACCGACTTTCTCGTGGGGTTTGGTGGGAATCTCCTCCCAGGTGTTGGTTTCCAGGTTGTAGGCGTGGATCTGGAATGACAGGGAGCGTCCAGGAGCTCATCCCCCATCCCAAAAAATCCCTTTTGGGAGTCACTCAGCCCAGCAGGGACTAAGCAGGACTAAACCCCACCCCCTAAACCCGGCTCAGCTCCAGGAAAAAACCGGGATTATTGTCCCTCAGATAACCTGGAATGGGACAAATCCCACCCTGCCGGCTCGGGATTATTCAGGAATATTTGTCTGGTAGAGAGGAAAGAAACAGGGGAGAGTGGGGAGAGGAAAAGCTGCGGATTCCAACTTTTTCTGGGAGCAGAGCCCGGTCTGAGCCGGGATTTGGGGACCACGGGAGGGTCTGTGGCAAATCCAGGGGTTTGTGGGGATTTAGGAATAGTCTGAGCCCAATTACCTGGGGGGGTTTTAACCAGGTTTCCACAGGGAAAATCCCTGATCCAGGGTTTCATTGTGGAATATCCCTGATCCAGGGATTCATTATGGAATATCCCTGATCCAGGATTTCACTGTGAAATATCCCTGATCCAGGATTTCATTATGGAATATCCCTGATCCAGGATTTCATTATGGAATATCCCCGATCCAGGATTTCATTATGGAATATCCCTGATCCAGGATTTCATTATGGAATATCCCTGATCCAGGGTTTCATTATGGAATATCCCTGATCCAGGATTTCACTGTGGAATATCCCTGATCCAGGA